TATAACATTCAAATGCTTCTGGAATGTTTGCTCATGTAATATATATGATTCATGTCGCATGTAATACAAATGCTACTGTTATGTTTTGTTTTAACTTGGCTTCTTATCTAAAATTCTTTTGCCTTTTTTTTTCCCAGCACCGGTTGCTACTCTCTTGCCGGAACAACAACAGCGGGAACAACATAAAGAAGAAGAACTAGCTGCTCCCTTTCGCCACGGTCAGTATGGTGGCAGAACCCTTCATGGTTGCTCCCTCTTTGGTTGCAACCATGTAGTGGTTTATGGTGAACGATGCTGCTCCGAGTTTCATGATGAGATGGCTGCTGAATTAGCGAGTCAAGGCAAAGCGTATGTGATTGTTGACGGGTTTTTTGACTCGGGAAAGGAGCGAAATTATCGGATCGTCGTTGCCTTGCTGAGAAAGGTAGAAAACAATCTAGCTGGTGGAATCCCTGAGGTTCATGATGTTGAGATCTTTCAGAAGCTGCCAAGAGAGTGGAACTTTATAAATTTGGATTTTCTCCATCAAGAATTGGAACGAGGCTGGTTATTTTTCCATAAAAAAAGCACTCCAGAGTTCCGGATATTCAAAGTGGGAGATAAAACCATTCATTGGTCAAGGTCAAACCCTGTTGTTCACAAATATGGTGAATATGATGAGATCCACTCTACTGTTTCGCAGCTGCAATATTATACTCAGAGGGGGGGGAAGGCAGTAGACGGTGATCCATGTGGTCTAAGAGATTGGTCGTTAAGTGAGCATGTTTACAAATCTACATCACTCTTCTGCCTTAGTTACCACTCGTCGAAAGATGACAAAGCTGGTATATTCACGATGTCTAAAGGAGACGACTGCGGGAAGAGGAAGAGAGGCGTTGATCAGCCGAGTTCCTCTGGTTCAAAGGGAAAAGGAAAAGACAAGACTGTGTTTAAAGGTAAGAAAGTTCCAGTCTTTCTTCGTTTACAAATTTGAGTGTGAAAGATGTTTTTTCCATTAGAAAGTTGGTTTTACAAGTCTCCAGTAATAACAAAAAAGAGTTCCTGTTTGCAGTGTTTTGCTCCTATCTTTGTCCTGTGATGTCTTTGTGTAATATGCCTAACTAGCAAGTAGCAAGAACCTAACCAAACTGTCCTAATTCATGTGGAATGTTTGCTCCTGTAATATATATTCTTCATGTCGTGTGTAACACATGCTAATGTTATCTCTTCTGTTTATATTGGCTTCTTATCTGAAATTGGCTTCATGTCGTGTGTAATACAGATGTTACTGTTATGTCTTCTCATCTTTTGTCTTTTTTTCATAGATGCTCCTTTGCGGGAAAAACAACAAGAACTCCCAGCCGCTTCTCTTCCGCTACATGGTTGCTCCCTCTTCGGCTGCAACCATGTAGTGGTTGATGGTGAAAGATATTGCTGTGACACTCATAAAGAGATGGTTAGTCAAGGAAACGCATATGTCGTTGTTGACGGGTTTTTTGACGAAAGGGAGCGAAATTATCGGATTGTTGTTGCCTTGCTGAGAAAGGTAGAAGACAATGTAGATGGTGGAATCCCAGAGATCCAAGATGTTGAGATCTTTCAGAAACTGCCAAGTGAGTGGAACTTCATAGATTTGGATTTTCTCAGTCAAGGAAGGGAGCGATCTTGGTTATTTTACCAGCAAAAAAGCACTCCAGAGTTCCAAAGATTCCGAGTGGGAGATAAAACCATTCAATGGTTAAGGTCAAACCATGCTGTTCACAAATTTGGTGAATATGATGAAATCCACTCTACTGTTTCGCAGCTGCGATATCAAATTAAGAGGGGGGAAAGGGCAGTAGACGGTGATCCATGTGGTCTAACAGGTTGGTCGTTGAGTGAGCATGTTTACAAATCCACATCACTCTTCTGCCTTAGTTACTGTTCGTCGAAAGATGACAAAGCTCGTATATTCAACACGTCTAAAGGAGGGAAGAGAGGCTCTAATCAGCAGAGTTCCTCTGGTTCAAAGGGAGAAGGTAGAGACTAGACTGTGTTTCTTAGTTAGTTCCAATCTTTCTTCGTTTGAAAATTGGAGTGTGATCATCATCTGTTGCAGGTATCGATTACAGAAAGTTGTTGTTTGTTGTGTTTGTAGTATAGATGCTTCTGGTATTAGCAATTTTTACATTAGATGACTAATATTCTTGAACTTGTAGATAAAATACCATAGCACAATGATAATGCTTGGAATTTGCTTATGCAGTTAGTTTCTCAAACAATGATCCTCTGTGATTTTCTCATATATGCATTTCTACAAATTGCAATAAAAGCGATCTACAATCTTATCTCATTTCAACAGATGGTAATTTGTCAAGCAAGACGAAATGTTTTATATCAAACATCGACAAAATTACTTAAAACGATAAAACAAACAATTTCTTAGATTATAAGTACAAGTATGATTGTTAGCCATTTAACCTGAACGCATTAGACAAGACAAGCAAGAAAAAGATTTAGATAGTGTAACAAGTAGAAGCAATATACTAAACCAAACCAAGATCGAGTCTTCAAGCCGAACCAAAATTCTAGTTTGGTACGGTTTTCCAAAACCCAAGAAGAAAAAAACTCTGTAATCATCAACAAAAAACATCTACATATAGTTTTTCTATAGATACATACAAATCTGAAAGCTATTAGAACTTAGTAGCAAAGCCTCAGATATAAAACAAGAGATGTGTGGGCACTAGTCATACAACAAACAAACCATAGCATCGGTAACTCCAGGCCTTTCCCAAACTTGTGTGCATCTTTGATCAGCTTGACACTGATGAGAATGTGAGGAATGCACCTCGCAAACACAAATGCTGTCCAGTTTAGTACCCACTCTAGTTTCACCAATGCTGTGTTGCTGTCTCGGATTCCCGCCATTCTCCTTAGCTTCCTCACGTGTAGAAAGATCGAATGCATCTGTTTACACATCAGAATAACTAAGGTCACTTTGGTTCGGATAAGTACATGTTGTGGAGTTGACATTATAGTCTATATCCAACTAGAGCTATATTAATGTTAGCATAGTATCGGAAAAGAACAGAGAAGAGCCAGGGAAACTTTTCAGGAAGACAGTTGAATGTACCTCACAAATGAGAGTAAGAATCAGGTAGTTGATGGTTACATTTCGGTATAGAGCCAATGTGAAGCAAACGAGGAGGATGAGGTGGTGAACCACAATGGAAGGTATTAAGCCGCTGTATAACCGGTACTGAAGCATATCCCACTGGTCATATGCAAAGTAGCCACATGAGAAACACAAAGCTGGATATGCTCATTTCCAAGTACCACCAACCAACTCAGAATGATCGAACATCTCGTCTAAACCTTTGGCTAAGCATTGATTGAGCAGAATGAAAACCACTGCAATAACACAAGTGCAGTGTTGAAGATGCAAAATCAATCAATATGGTTTGGTGAAGAAAGAACTACATCATACGCAAGATATGGCAAGACAGATGGTGTGATGGTCTTTAAAACCAATTAAGTAATTACATTCAAGGGTGTAAACCAGGTCTCAAATAGAAATAACTACCGAGACTAATGATCAGCATGAATAGTAAAACAGTAGAAGTAACGAATAAGCTCCCCAGACCCAAAGTTTATATAATCAAGGTAAGCTTTATGCACTCCAGCATTTAAGAAGGGTTGCCGCAATCCAAGAAACAAATGGCATTCTGACAGTAAAGCAAAAATTCTGCACTGGTTACTAATCTTAACACGTCCATATATCAACTTATAGACCAAAAAACAAGTTAATCACCCACATCCCGATCATCGAATCAACAAAGCTACATCAAAATTGGAAGTTGAAGAGTTGAGTCTATATAGTCAAGGACATGCTTGTTGGTACAGAACAGACCTTTCATAGCAAAAGATAAAACCTGGAAAATGGCATCAATTAAGTGTTCTCTCCCACATGAGATTGTGGCTTATTCTTTACCTCTTTAACCTAAATCATCAAATCTGTCACTCACTAAAACTATACAGGAGATTCAAAGTGATTACAAGAATTAGCATAGAAACAACAACAACTACACCACTAATCAAGCAATCAGAAAAAGAATTCTCTCGGAAATAAGAACTACATTAAGAAATGAACAAATGCAAGCGTGAAAACACACCAGACTAAAGGAAAATTGACCAATACCAAAGACCAATGTGCACACGTATGATGAAAAATTTTCCCAATTAACAGAGCAAAATCCTATAGTAAAAACTCAAAACATAAAAGAAGAGAGGAAAGGGAGGGACCTGATGCAGAGGTGATAATTGAGTGCAAAAGCGAGACAGAGGTATTAACAAAGAGAGGGTCACGATAAATCCAAGAACGAACCACCCAATTCATCAATTGAAAGAAACAACCACCGCAAATCACCCAGAGAAGCTCCGTCCGGAGATTGAAAGCAATCTCAAACACGACGGAGACCAGCCAATGAAGCAGCGTCGCTAGAAAGAACTGCCCAGCAAGATCAGATAAGTCTTAGATGGATGTACTAGACACGGTACTTAAAAAGATAAGCAACAGGCCTTCTTCCCAATGCCAGACCAATGTTATAAATGCTACTATTAAAAAGAAATTTTCACTGTCCTGATATTTTGAGGGATCGAAGTACCTTAAAACGGATCCTTATGACAGTAGGGCGCGTCCCTGGGTACAGAACAGCTGCTTATCTGCAAAAAAAATTCAGGATAATGATGTAATGTTTTTGATTTCCAGCCAATAGGCAGTAAGAGGTATCTAACCTTATCATCTGACATTGACAATGTATAAGTCCCTCTGTAAGTCAACTCTATAACTAGCATATACTGCCAACATTTCAATTTGAAAAATCAATAAAAATAAATCCTAGAATCATGCCTCTCCCCAGACAATGTATTCCCCTCAACTTCCTGAGAAACTTTGTGAACTTCTCAATTCCCTGCAGTTAAAAAATGAATTCCATCAATCAAACTGTTCTTCTGATCACCTATCTAACAAAGAATGCAACTGGAATCATGTCCAAATATACATTAAACCGAAATGATGTTGAAACCAATAACAGTATATTCTAAAATACAAAGTTTCCTTGAACTTGAAGCTAAGGAGTTGTTTCTAAGACATTAGTTCAAAGAGCCAGAATATCCCAGGTTTCAAAATAAGAGAAAGGTAAAGGTTTGATGGAGCTTAAATTTAGCCACCACCTTTTTTCCAAGGTTATGCAAAAGCCTGCTTCCTCTTCTTTTATAATCTCTGTGATCTTCTTTTCATGTTCCTTTAACTCCGTAAAGTAAAGACATCGCCCATCACCCGAATAACAGAACTTACAAGTCTACATGTTAGAATAGACTGGTCAGTGACAGACACACTCACACAGAGACAAAATTAAGATACGTGCGAAACATATGTTGCATTTACACAATATGCTCCAGCCGTAACTACTTACCGTTGAAATACCCTTCCTCGGCTTTTAAAATATCTTTTCCATATCGAACCGCTCCACGAAGAATACTCCTCAGATCATGTTGAAGACCCTCGCTACCTACAAGAGGTGGTAATATTCGCTAAACAAGAGAATATATATATACATTTCAGTTAAATACCATAACAGATTTACTAATGATCAAATAATAACTGTTTGCAAAAGAAAAGAAAAAATAGCAATTAAGAAATGGAAGAAGAGGGAATACGGCAATACCAGGCCGAGATCCATTCACAATAGCAATTAATAGAGTTCTAATAGGATCAGCGACCACTCTATATGCCGTGCCAACTCTGTCAACATCGTCAGCACCAACTTTTCCAGAGTTGTTAAACTATTTTACAAACACATGTACAGGCTCGTTAAAGGAAAAAAATCTAAAAATAGAAATAAGAGAGGGTAAATTAAGGTAAAGAAGCTAGCAAAATTTGGCTACGAGTTGATATGGAGCTGCATTTAGATGATCAATAACATTCTAAAAGAATAACCTTTCAGGCTCCACATATACCAAGATAAATTACGAAGAGAACAGAGAGAGTTTATACCTGAATAAAGACAAGATTCCATATTTCTAAGCAAGTTGGATCATCCTTGTTAACTAAGGATGCAGCATCACGGTCATAATGTATTTCAGTACAAGGTCCACATGGACCAGTGTCTCCCATTTCCCAGAAGTTGTCCTGCAAATATAATAGGTGTTGCTAAATCGAAATGACAAAGAAGGTTACCAAAATTGAAAATCCATGTATCTACATCTGGTAAAAAAATCTGACCCGAAGTCATAAACATCTGTTTTGAAAACTTGCCAAATATCAAAACCTGAAAGTGTATACCTACTCCTAAATCCATTCAAGCCTCCAAGTTCTACAGTTCTTGCTGAAGTAGCAATGTGTCAATATATACCAGAAACATTAGCAATTGATACAAAGATGATAGTCTGAGCAATCAAATAAGAAAAAAAATTTCAAATGAGAACAAAGGGATCACTACAAAAAGGGAAACTATATTATGGAGTAATGAAGTAAACATACTTTGCAATCAAAGGGCATAACTCGTCCAGATGGAAGAAATTTAAGCCATATATCTCCAGCTTCATTATCAGGTTGAAGACCAGCTTTCACATCACCCTCAAAATAGGTAGAGTAAATTCGATCAGTTGGTAGCCCGTAGACCTGAGTCATGAAGAAACAGGGAAGCTTATTCATTAATCAAACTCTAAAAAAAGAAAAAAAAAGGTTGCCGTAGTTGTGAATTTACCTTTGTTAAAAGCTCCCAACCCCCCGCCCCCACATCATCGAGATCAATGTGTTCTCCACCAGCACGTACACACACTTCTGAGTGTTAGCTTGCTGAGCTCGAAATTTGGATCAGCAGTCCCCAAAAATGTTGGCTTAAACTGATTCAGCAGTCCCTTGCAAAGAAAAACCGCAGTTCAGATAAAAAGTCTCAGGATTCAAGATAAGTTTAAGATTCACCACCCAAACTTCAAAATTCCTATCAATATCTAGAGTGATTCAACTCAACAATCAAAATTGGGGAACTGATATCTGGTACCAGCATTAGCGAAGAGAAGTTGCAAATGTGAAACCGACTGGACAATAGTGGGAAAGTAGAGCGTCTTTTCAGGAGGAGATCTGGTTGGAGGATCGCCGGTCGAGGAGACTCTTCATGTCGGAGAGAGGTTTTTTTTTTTTCTCAAAACACAAGCGTCTCTAGCCATCCAGTTTGGTTTTTGGTTTTTGGTTTAAATCATGCTCTTTCGAGCATCAATCATACCAAAACGCTACCGCATAATTGATTGGGTGATGCTGGAAAATATTACAAGACGTGGCTATGATTAAATTAAAAGAAGTAAGAATTTAAACACAATAATGTTTAGGTTTACTATGCTTTGTTAGATTGTAGGAGCCCATTTTGGTTGCAATACAACCAATCGTGGATCAGGAGAAACAATGTATTGAAGTATTAATAATATTAAGTTCGTATGTTTGGAGCACAATAATGTTTTGCAACAACCAAATAAAACAAGGTTTTCTCGGCAGATAAACAACGGTGGATGTTGATGCACGAATCACACAAGTACGAAATAGGGTTTCTCTAGGGAAGTAAAAAGAATCTCCTAAAACAATTCGAGCCGAGAGTTCAAATAGCGTTAGGCGAGCCGAGATTGGTGACGTCGGATTGAGGAGTCCGGGTCGTTGATTAGGCCGAACTGTAGGTTGTTTTCCGAGTTGAACAAAGCTTGAGGTCGCTTTCTTTTTCCAAACTGAGATCGGTTTTCCTCCTAGCCGAGCTCTTCGTGTCCTAGCCGAGCTCTTCGTGTCCTAGCCGAGCTCTTCGTGTCCTAGCCGAGCTCTTCGTGTCCTTGCCGTGTCAGCGTGATTTTCGATGGATGTGACAGGACTAGTCGTCCTGCTTTTATACTCCTCCGGAGTAGGGCGTACCCTGACAGGTTTTACCGGTTTTGCCCTCGTGTATTGTGACGTGGCGGACCCGTAGGGCGGCGAGGTCGTCCGGGCCTCGATGCCTTTGGGCTTGAGACCTGCTTCGTTGATGGGCTTCTCTTGGATTGGGCCTCATTTTCCTAAAGCCCAAACTCTCCCTCAACAGTTGCCCCCCAATCATGATTCATCGTGTGCTGCGAGGATCATGATTATTTTTCCCTTCCCAAGACACGCAAGAGATCGCCTTTCTTCGCGTCGTTCCGGATCAACGAGTTTCGGCGACGCGCGCGCGTGGGAGGGACGCGAGGATCGATTCGTCTGACGTTGTTCCCGGTGTTTGGAGATCGAAGCGTCCCTTCGCGTGTGAAGCTGTCCTAGCTCGTAATTATTGCTCGATTTTGTAGATATAATGATTACTTATCACCTTTCGCTTCTATAAATACCTCCTCTTCTCTCGTCCGTTTCTCATTCTTCTTCCTCCGCTAAAGGTATAACCTTCTCCTCTCTATTTCGTTTTCTCTCGCTTTATATCGTTTTTTGTTTTATCGCGATGTCTTCCGACGCCAGTTCTCGCGGTTCCGTTTCCGACCACTTCCGTTCTCGCACCTCGTCTGGTTCTTCGGGTCGTATATCATCCGTTGATCGATTCCGGGCCAATTCTTTTGATGACGACCTAGAGTCCGACTCGTCCCCTCGTCGACAGAACTCGTCGAGGTCGTCTGACGCTGGTTCCTCGATTCTCGCGGCCGAACTGCGACGTCGCGACTCGCCCTCTCAACGGGATCTTATCGGAGCTACCTCTGTCGTTCCATTCGTTCCTAGTCTCCGAGATGAGGATATCGGTGACGTCAAGTTTGACGATCTGGAGGCTGAGCCTGAGCTCGTTGAGATGCCTTTCGGGGTTCCCGGACCGTCTCCCTATCACGTTGACTTCCTGGGGCCGACCCGGACGTCATTTGAGACCCTCGCATATACCCTCCACTATTGTGACGCTCCGTCCTCGATTGAAACTCGCATCCCTGCCTTATCCGAGCGACCTTGGTCCGCTCCGGCCGGCTTCCTCTGTGTTTATGAGAGCTTCTTTACGGAGTGCGATCTCACTTTTCCGATTCCGGGCTTCCTGCTTGAATATGTAGCGAGGCGGGAGATGGCTCTTTCTCAGCTTTCTGTTGCTGCCATCCGGAATGCGGTAGGCCTGGTTCGGCTGGCGAATAGGTGCGGCGTGGTTGTCCGTTCTTCTCACTACGAGGAGGTAACTAAGATTAAGAGCCTCAGCAAGAAAAAGCCGGGCTTACACTACGTCCAGTCATCCACGACTCCTAAGCTTGTCGACGAGGCTAAGAGCAAAACCAGTGATTGGTCGGCGGGATACTTCTTCGTTAGGATTTCGGCGGAGTCTGTTGAGGACGTTAGAATTCCGATCTATACAGGGTGGAAAATTTCACCCGGTAGCTTGAGCTCGTCTTCCGCCCTCATACTTCCTCTTTGGTTTTCGATTTTCTTATATTTTCTTTTTTATGCAGCTCGTTTCCCGACGATATTTGATCCATTTCCCGAGCAGCTCAAGGAGGACCTCGAAAAGATTCGCGCCGAGGGTACATATATCTGGCCGTCTACTAACAAAGTTGCTCGCCGCCCTTCTAGGAATTCTTCACGCGGTCGCCGAGGTTCTTCTCGTCGTGGGCCAATTCGTCAAAGTTCCAAAATTTCCGCTCCTCCAAAACCAGGTATCGCATATATCGTTCGTATCCGCGGGTTTTCGTTATCTTGGCTCATACGTATTTTTTTGATTTTAGGTCGTAAAGCAATGGGTAAGTTCGACCTGAGTGTGGTTCCGGATTACGCCAGTCGTTACAAGGAGAAGAGGCCGGCCTCGGAGACTCCTGTGGCGAAGCCAACTCGCTCAGAGGAGCGACAAATGAGGGAGGCCCTGAAGAAGAGTCTCTTAGATCAGGGAGGGCGTCACGCCTTTCAGGCCGGAAGTTCTCGACCGCTGAGCCCTAACTCCGAGAGGGTAAAAAAGAACGAGACGCTCGCAGCTCGTTTGACTTAGCAGGCTGGTGAGGGTGACCGAGCTGTAATCCTTCCCCCAAGTGACGATCTCCGGGCCGTAGGGGCCCGAAGTGGCTCAGTCGAGCCTCTGAATAGGAAGAGGCCGGCTGATACAGGAGCTCGTCCGATTGCCCAGAAGAGGCCTCGGGTCGCCGACCACCGATGGTCGTACCGCTATGTCGATAGGGATGTTCCCTTCACATCTAATGCGGATGCCTGTGCTGCTCTATTCCGCGAGATGGGTCATGGCCCCGGCTCGTTCCCTCTAATCGAGGATCTTCGGGAGCGGGATGCGTATACCGAGGTGGCCCGGAAATCATGCGAGGTTATTATTATATATATGTGTATGTATATTTTTGTTACCCTTCCTCGGTCGATTGTTTATACATATTTTTATCAGGCGACTTTCGCGATGAACCGCATGGTTCATCTCTACGAGCGCCGAGTTCGTCGGCTTTCGACCGAGAACCCGAATTCGAGTGATTATCAGGCTGCCATTGCTGCGGAGAAGGAGCGGGTAGAGCAAGTCTCGCGAGAGTTGGGTGCTGTTAAGGACGAGGCGGTGAAGCTTAGGGAGAAGGTCAACCTTCTCGATCATCACCGGAATGGGCTGATTGCGGAGAGGAACCGTTTGAGCGCCGAGGTGGAGGCAGAGAAGGCTCGGTATGACGAGCTCGCTGTGATCCTCCGCTCCGAAAAGGCTAGACTGCGAGAACGTCGTGCTGAGTACGGTGAGTACTGTAGGGGTAAAGCTCTTGCGAAGATGGCCCGGCTGTTTCAGGCTCGTCTCACCCGTCTACAGGCTCATGTTGAGGATACCCGTGCCGCGCAGCCCACTCTTCTGCTTTACAACCAGGCGGTCGGGAACCTTGGTTTTCTGAAGGCCTTAGTGGAAGACGGCGAGGTCGTCATTAAGTCGGAGGAAACGCTTTCCAGGGTTGAGGCCGACGTGGCGCAGTACAGAGCTGATCTTGCGGCCTTCGACGTGACCGAACTTCAGGATGGCGATTTTGATGCCTATACCCTCTTTGCGGACCGGAACGAGGTTACTGAGAACCTTCAGTATGCCGCTTCGGCTGCCAGTGGTAGGGACTTCGTCGGAGGTGACGAGGTCGAAGAAGATGCCGTTGATCAGGACACTCAGCAGGAGGTCGCAGTTGAAGCTCGCGAGACCAGGGCCGAACTTCAGGATGGGGGTGGTTTTGGGACCGAGGCTATAGGCGCTGAGCAGACTGGCGATGGTCAGGAGGTTCCACGGGTGGCTACTCCGTTAGCTCAGGTTGTCCAGGATGGGGAGGACGTTGATATCGAAGGCTGACCGCGAGGTCATTTTTAAAGTTGTTGTCGTTTTGCCGCTTTGACGGCTTTTTCTTATCTAGTCGCCGCTTTGTCGGCTTTCGAACTCGTGCCGTTAACTCGGCTTTTAGCTTTATTTCCGCTGGTCGGTTTGTTTGAACATGATTGCCGCTAGGTCGGCTTATTTTATGTGGTTTTCGCCATTTATTTCTTCTTTTATTTTAGCCCGTTCTTCAAGGTCGGCTCCTGTGTAGGACGGGACGCGGCCGGTTTCTGTGTAAACCTGGCCGTGATCGGCTTGGTGCGAGTTCACCAAGCTGATGCGAGGCCTAAGTTATTTTGGTTGTTGGTGAGCTTGACCGGTTCGGGATTTGTGAGTCCGTCTTCGGCCTATACGTTTATTCTGTCGGTATGATGCAAGTGCTGGACTCGGCTTGTGCGAAATTTTGCCAATTTCGGCTTTTCCGAGTTTGCTCGGAGTGTTCGAGGCGGGCTCGAGACATCGTGAGGTGCGACGCGCGGTGATCGGCTTACCCTGTATTGGCCTGACAACTCTTTGGGAGTGCGGGTTCGTCCCCGGCTTATGCTACCCGGTTTATCGAGGCTTTGCGAGTACGGAGCTCGGCTTTCAGACCCTTAAGTGTAGGTTTTTTCCAAGACTTTTTTACTTGTTTTGGCAGACTTAAGTAAGGGTGTGCGTTCTCGTTCGAACGTGTTCGATCGATTTGCCTGGCCAGGGTATCGATGTATATTTCGGTTCGGTTGTTTTTCCAAAGATGGAAATACAAAATTTTATTAATATCATAGCTGCGCCCTGCAAGCAGAGCTGCCTACGTACCCCCTGATCGGAGGGATCAAGCCGTTCGTAGTTCACATTACATAGAGAGGCATCGGTAAGGCCGAGCTACCTTTTTTTTTTTTTTTTTTTTTTTTTTTTTTTTTTTTTTTTATATAAAGAAAACGAGGTCGTCAGTAGTAGTATCGCTTGAGGTGCATGGAGTTCCAAGTTCGTGGGACCTCAGTGCCGCTCATGGTGAGGAGTTCGTAGTCGCCCGGGCGAACTATTTTTGAGACTTGGTACGGCCCCTCCCAGTTCGCTCCTAATTTGCCGGCGTTGAGTTCAGCTGTATTTTCGAAGACCTTCCTGAGTACAAGGTCGCCGACGTCAAAGTGGCGGTTGTGTACTTTCTTGTTGTAGTATCGGGCGGCGGCGAGCTGGTAGTTCTGAATTCGGCATAGTGCGGTGTTGCGCATTTCCTCAAGTTCGTCGAGTCTGTCAAGCATCATCTGGTCGTTGAGATCGGGACGGACTGCCATCATAGAACGGCGAAGACTCGAGTATCCGACCTCGGCTGGGGCCATTGCTTCCATGCCGTAGGCTAGCGCGAATGGTGTTTGCGTGGTGGCACTGCGGGGCGTAGTTCGGTACGCCCAAAGTACTCCGTCTAGCTCGTCTGCCCAAGCTCCCTTTTTGTCGTCGAGACGTTTTTTGAGGCTGGCAAGAATAGTTTTGTTGGTCGCCTCGGCTTGCCCGTTGCCTTGCGGGTATCTCGGTGTGGACTTGTTTAGACGAATTTTCCAGTTCGCACAGAAATTCTCAAATGTCAGCGAGATAAATTGCGAGCCATTATCGGTGATGATTTCGTATGGAAGGCCGTGTCGGCATATTATATATTTCCAAACGAAGTTCTGGACATCCTTGGCTCGTATTGTCGCGTACGATTCGGCTTCCACCCATTTAGTAAAGTAATCCGTCATGACTAGGATGAACCGTTTTTGCCTGGAGGCTGGT